GGTTACTTAGAGACAAGAACCTCTCAGATTTATCTGCTTGAGCTGCTTTGAACAGCAATCTTCAGATCTCAGCTTTCTGAGTAGCTAGGATTACAGGTGTGAGCTACCAGCACCCAACCTATTTCCTCCTTTTACCACCATTCCAGTGTTGGTCTAGATGCTTGCCCAAAGATGCCATCTCCGGTAGGGGGAAAACAATGGAGGGGGTAACAATGTTCAAGAGGAAGTGTACTCATAACCTCACTCATGTAACTGTGACCCTCTGTATAGTAGCTTTACAATAAAAAAAAAAAAAAAAAAAAAAAAAAAAGATGCCATCTCCACCTTTTCCTTCTTCCATCATGAGATTCACAAAGACACCAAATCCTCACTATTCCTTGTTACCAGTTAATTTCAATGATAACTTCTTACCCATAGATTTTTCTTGGATTTACTTTTGGTGATACTGGGGTTTAAACTCAAGGTCTCATGTTTGCTAGGCAGGAACTTTACCACTTGAGCCACTTTCCAGGACCTCTTTTTTTTTTGCCAGTCCTGGAGCTTGAACTCAGGACCTGAGCTTCTTTTGTTCAAGGCTAGCAAACTGAGCCATAGCTCCACTTCTGGCTTTTTCTGTGTATGTGCTACTGAGGAATGGCACTCAGGGCTTTATGCATGCTAGGCAAGCACTGGACCACTGAGCCACATTCCCAGCCTGGCCCTCTTTTCCTTGTTGTTTTGTTTTGTTTGTGGTGTTGGAGATCAAACCCAGGCTGGTCAAACATGACAGCCTAGTGCCAGCTGCTGAGCTATCCCGTAGGTCTTCATACTTGTTCTTAGCTTGGACTGGTGAGCTTTGTTTAAGGTGTCTAAGGCAGCCTCCCTCACCCTTTGAGGTAGACTCCAGGAAGTTTGTTTTAGAGACAGAAAAAGACACAAGAAAGCTACTCAGAAGGCTGAGATCTGATCACAATTCAGAGTCAGCCTGGGAAGGGAAGTCCCTGGGATTCTTTTTTTTTATTTTTTGCCAGTCCTGGGGGCCTGGGCACTGTCCTTGGGCTTCTTTTGCTCAAGGCTAGCACTCTACCACTTGAGTCACAGCACCACTTCTGGCTTTTTCTGTGTATGTGGTACCAAGGAATTGAATCCAGGTCTTCATGCATGCCAGGCAAGCACTCTACCAGCCCCTCCCTGAGATTTTTTTTTTTGTCTGTTGTCGGGCTTGAATTCTGGACCTGGGCGCTATCCCTGAGCTCTTCAGCTCAAGGCAAGTGCTCTACCACTTGAGCCACAGTGCCACTTCCGGTTTTCTGGTGATTAATTGGAGATAAGAGTCTCACTGACTTTCCTATTCAAGCTGGCTTTGAACCGTGATCCTCAGACCTCAGCCTCCTGAGTAGCTAGGATGACAGGAATGAGCCACCGGCGCCCAGCCTCCCTGAGATTCTTTTTTTTTTTTTTTTGTCAGTCGTGGGGCTTGAACTCTGGGCCTGGGCGCTGTCCCTCAGCTCTTCAGCTCAAAGCGAGCGCTCTACCACTTGAGCTACAGCACCACTTCCGATTTTCTGGTGGTTTATTGGAGATCGGAGTTTCATGGTCTCTTCTGCCCGGGCTGGCTTTGAACCGCGATCCTCAGATCTCAGCCTCCTGAGTAGCTAGGATTACAGGCGTGAGCCACCAGCGCCCGGCCTCCCTGAGATTCTTATTTTCATTTAACCACTGAGAAGCTGGAAGTGGAGCTGTGGCTCAAGTGGTAAGAGCTCTAGCCTTGAGCAGAAAAAGCTCAGGAACAGTTCAAGGACTTGTTACACACACACACACACACACACACACACATACACACACACACACACACACACACACACACACACACACACACACACCAAACAATAAAACAGGTGAGTCACTTCAAAGTTTCCCTGTAAGACTGGAATAGGAAGACAGAAGAGAAGAACAAAAGATAATGGAGTAGTTAACATCAGGGTATTTCAGGTTATTCTTTTTGTATAAGGATTAAAGCAGAGGGAAATTCATGCCAATTGAAACTGCCCTATCTGGGAAATTTGGCTTTTATCTCTCCCATCTTCCTTGCTGGGAAGCTTGGATGAATACTCTAGTTTTACTTCGGTGACATGAAACCACGATGAGTGATTTCCTGTTGATTTATTGCTTTGCAATACCGGGGATTGAACCCAAGACCTTGTACATGTTAGGCAAGCCGTCTACCACTGACCTATGTTCCCAGCTCTCCATTTCAAGCCTTAGCATAGCCTGCTGGGGCTTGGTGGGAAACCATGCCCTCTTTTATTTCCTATCCCCAAACTCATCAGAGGTGTAAAAGGCAAGGATGGTAGAAACAACAGAAAGCCTCCCCTCCCCCCACCCAGGTACTCCTTCGGCTAAGGGGCAATATCTGAGGTCCAGGAAACACAGGCAGGTCTTTGCCTCTAGCCCAAATAGGAGGCAGAAATGGGGAATGCTGGAGACCAAGAAACAAAGCTGTAGTTGGCACATTTCAAAGGGGGGGAAGCTTTGAAACTCACCATACCAACAGCCTGAGACATTCTGCTATTTTACCACTGCAAAAATGGGACCCTAGTGGTTACACCTGCAATCCTTGCTACTCAGGAGGCTGAGATCTGAGGATTGCGGTTCTAAGTCAGCCCAGACAGGAAAGTGCATGAGACTCTTATCTGCAGTTAACCCACAAAAAGCCAGAAGTAGAGCTATGGCTCAAATGGTCTCTAGCCTTGTGCACAAAAGCTTAGGGACAGCACCAAGACTCTGAGTTCAAGCCCTAGGACCAGCACACACACACACACACACACATACACACATACACACACACAGAGGAACCATGCCTTCTTCATGTTTATTCTACCATGAAGATTTTCTTGGCTTCATGGTATTTCATATTATAGATGAACCTTAGAAATTTTATAGGAAGCTGGGTACCTGTGGTTCACACCTTTAATCTAAGCTACTGAGATCTGAGGATTGAGGTTCAGTGTCAGCCCAGGCAGATGAGTCTGAGAGACTATTATCTCCAAGTAAATAGAAACAAGCAAAAAGTAGAGGTGTGGCTTAACGGTAGTGTGATAAAGCTCAGGAACAATGTCTAGAATGTGAGTTCAAATCCCAGTACCAGCACACACACAAGCTTTACAAGGCACTGTGGGGCACACCTATAATCCCACACTCAGGAGACTGTGGCAGAAGGATTTTGAGTTTGAGGTAGACTTGGGCTCTATAGAGAGACCCCATCTCAAAATAAATAAATTGAAAAAGCTGACAAAAAATAAAAAGAAAACAAAAATCAAAATAATAAAAGAACATTTAGCCAATTCTTTTTTCTTTTCTTTTACTTTTTCTTTTCTTTTTCTTTTTGTCAGTCATGGAGCTTGAACTTAGAGTCTGGACACTGGCACCTGAGCTTTTTCTGCTCAAGACTAGCACTCTAGCACTTTGAGACACAGCTCCACTTCCATTTTTCTGGTGGTTAATTGGCGATAAGAGTCTTACAGTCTTTCCTGCTGAGTTGCCTTTGAACTGATTCCACATACTCAGCCTCCTAAATAGCTAGGATTACAGGCATGAGCCACCCCAGAGCCCAGCTCAATGATCATTTTATGTTTCTTTATTTTGTAAAAGTTGAAGCTGGCTCAGAGAATCTGGATACAAGGCTTTAAACACAAGTAAGCAATGTTTAAGCTTCAGTACTGCAAGCACATCCATAGATTCTCCTTTGGTGTGGGCTTTTCTTGCTGGTTATTATGTGAGCTCTTTTATAGCTAGCATTTATTTTCATGTGCAAAGCAGCCCTACACAATAGATGATGCTCTTCGAATTGTATAGATGGAGACACACATTTCTGAGAGGTGACCAGATCTGTCTAAGAAAGTGGGCAGACAGCCCGAACTGACTCCAATGCCAATCTTTTAGACAAGATCTGGGAAGACTTTGTGGGTTTTTGTTGTTGTTGTTGTTTTTGGGTCCGGTCATGGGGCCTGAACTCTGGGACTGGACGCTGTCCCTCAGCTCTTCAGCTCAAGGCTAGCGCTCTACCACTTGAGCCACAGCGCCACTTCCAGCTTTTTTCTTTTTTCTTACATGGTGCTGAGAAATCGAACCCAGTGCCTCAGGCATGCAAGGCAAGTGCTCTACCACTGAGCCACCTTCCCAGCCCGACTTTGTGTTTTTATAGTACCAAGGCTTGAGCTCAGGGCCTCATACTCGCACTTGGCTTGCTTGCTGCAGGCACTTTATCATTTGGAGCATACCTCCAACTCGACTTTTCCCTCATTAATTGAAGATGGAGTCTCAGAGACTTTTCTGCCCAGGCTGGCTTTCAAACTGCAATCCTCCAGGTTTGGGCGTGAGCCACCAGTGGCTAGCAGGGAATTTTTTCTTGTTATTATTAGTGTTATTGTTGTTGTTATGCTTGTTTATTATTATTATGCTTGTTTGCTTTCTGCCGTGCTGGGGACTGAACCCAGGCTTTTGCGCACACTAGGCCAGCTCCCAGCTGAGTTTTCTAGACAGACAGAATGACCTCCGAAGGAGTAAAGGGATCACGGAAGACCATCAGGCAAAATCCAAAGCCTGCGCAGAGGCCATCAGGAGATTTCTGAGAGCTCAGGATTGTAGGGCAAAGGGATTGGCCCGCAAATCCTGGAGGCGAGAGCAGCTGGGCTGAGTCCTGCCCGTGCCCAGCCCTGCGGAGCGCTGCCCAGCCGTGGCCCCGCCCCCCGGCCTTGCCACCCCCGTCCCCCCGCCGGGGACCGGCGCGCCGGGTCCCTCCACGCCTGCCAGGCCCTGGGTCCTGTGTGGAGCGCACCCACCGCACGCAGAGCGCTCTGTTCCGCCCTTTGCCGCGCCCCCTTCCTGCCAGGTGCAATCAGAACGCTCCTTCGCGCTGGCTCAGGCCCCGCCTCTCTCCATAGGGACCAATCCCTAGCCCGTCTGGAGCAGGATGGCCCCGCCCCCCTCAGGACCGCGCAACTGGCCCCGCCCCGTCCAGCCTCCGTCCCGCGCGACCTGGGCGGCCGCACCCATGACTCCGCCCTGCGCGCGGAGCTGCAGCCATGGCTGTCACCGCCGAGGGCGCCCGCAGGAAGGAGCGCATCCTCTGCCTGTTCGACGTGGACGGGACCCTCACGCCGGCTCGCCAGGTAGGGCCCCGACATTCGGCAGCTTTCGCCGGAAGTGTCACCCCGGGGCCTGCGGCGGCGGGACCGCAGCCAGCTCCGGACCTGGTGCGGGGTGCCGCAGCACAGGTCCTGGCGTCTGGTGCCCAGCGCCCGGCGTGACGGGTGCCCCGAGCCGCCCCCCGCACGGCCCCCGCCTCCCCGCCGGGCTCCCACCCCTGGCAGCCCGCGGATGCACCCTGCGTCCCGGGCTGGCGTCCGAGGCGGGCGCCCGGCAGGCTACGCGCGCCACCCGGGGGCAGAGTCGCCCTCTGGTGGGGGCCACAGGCCGTGGAGGGACAGCGCTACCTGGAGGACAGGCCCCACAGGCCTAGCCTGCTGAAGATGGAGACACCCAGGCACGGCCAGAGCCGGGGTGTCGGGTGCCTCCAGGACTGCACCTCCAGACCTCCGCCCCCAGCCAGGGTTGTCTCTTGGCTTTCGTCTTGGATGAGTCCCCAGACCCAGCTGGGTGCATGAATCAGCAGGCAGGCCGCGTTCGTGGGCATCCCCCCCCTCCCGTGGGGGGATCACGCTCCAGTGTGGGAGCCACAGGGATCACCCCAGGGCGGTTGCTGTGGGGCCGGGTTACCGGGCAGAGGCTGATGGGAACCCAGGCCTCAGCGTCTGGATGCCCCTCCCCGCTGCTATGGTGAAGGTGCTCAGTCTGGAGCCCTAAGTTAGCAGGAAAGCACCAGCCGCCCTAGGAGTGTGCACAGAACTGGAGAGAGGCTGGGGCCCAGTCAGGGAACCTTTTTTCTCCCTTGTGCATCGGGGCTTGAATTCAGAGCCTGGGCACTGCCCCTTAGCTTTCACTCAAGGCTGGTGCTCTACTACTTGAGCTCCACTCCCAGCTTTTTGGTGCCTACTTGGAGGTGAGTCTTATGGACTTTCCTGCACAGGCTGACTTTGAATTGCCATCCTCAGATCTCAGCCTCCTGATTAGTTAGGTACAGGTGTGAAGCACCACTGCCTAGATTTGTCTTGTCATAAGATCGCTTTCTATGGCCTGCAACCTGGACTCCTCGTTGTGTCCGGTGACGCATTGCTGAATTGCCAGTCCCTGTTCATTTTCCTCCCCGGGGCCCCACACTTAGGGCTTTTCAAAGTTAATTTTTAATTATATAAGTGTTCACAAGCCCATTCTTTCTATAAAAAAATAACATTGAACAAAGAAGACTAAAGTTCCCTCTGGCCACTTTGCCCTCATGCCAAGCCCAGCTCCCTTCCCAGAGTAATGTGGTCCCCTGCATAGTGTGGCTTCCTTCCAGACGTTTATCTGGATGTGTCTAACCAAAGGAAATATGAGGCATTTTTTGAGGCATTGTTTTTGTGAGGCTATTCTTTAATTAAGTGGCTTTCTACTGGCTGCAGCTCGTGTGTCTTGGGAGCCTGCCTGGTTGGAAGCATAGATGTACTTTATCTGTGTTCCTGAAGGGAAGGTGGTATCATTCCTCCATTGACAGCAGGGAAGTGGCTTGCAGTTCCCCACTATTGCAAAGCAGGCCCAATGAACCTGTGCATGTGCAACTCAGGGCTTTGCATTTTAAGTTTTAGTGGATCTCACAAAACTATCTTCAAATCAGCAATATCCATCTACACTCTGTGTGCATATGTGTGTGTGTGTGCCAGTCCTGGGGTTTAAACTCAGGGCTTGGGCACTGTTCCTTAGCTGTTTTTTATTCAGGGCTGGTGCTCTACCAATTGAACCACAGCGCCACCTGCAGCTTTCTAGGTCTCATGGACTTTCCTGCGTGAGCCGGTTTCAAACCGTAATCCTCAGATATCAGCCAAAGTAGCTAGGATTATAGGCATGAGCCACGAGCACCTGGTTGTTAGTGTTTTTTTGAGACAGGGTTTTGTTGTGTAGCTGAAGCTGGCCTCAAACTCTGATCCTCTAACTTCAGCCTCCCAAGTGCTAGGATTACAAGTATGAACCACTATGCCCTGAGTGCAGTTTTTGTTTCTGTTTTATGTTTTGTTTTTGCTTTGTAGTCCCAGGATTTTGAACCCTTGCTGAGAACCATGGTAGGCAAACATGCTCACCTCCAGGCCTGTAGATCTGTTTTGATTATAGGCCATCACGAGTCAAATGTGCTGTTTTGCATTTGTGCAGCCTTGTGTCAGGGTTCAAAAAGCTGTAGATTTTGCATTTCTGATTTTTTGGACTAGAGATGACGGTCATTCATTCCTGCACTGTTCCAGGTTGAATGTGGGTTCCCTGGATTCTGAACTCTATGCAGCACTCCCTGAATCCTTTTCTTCCCTCTCCCCAGAAAATTGACCCTGAGGTGTCAGCCTTCCTGCAGAAGCTACGAAGTAGGGTGCAGATTGGTGTGGTGGGCGGCTCTGACTACTCTAAGATTGCTGAGCAACTGGGTGATGGCGATGAAGGTAGGCGCGGGTCCAGGGCTGGTCCAGTTGGGGGGGTGGTGAAGGGAGCTGGGAGGGAGTCAGGACCCAATCTGGCCTCTGTGGGAAGAAGAGGTAGAGAAGGCATCAGGTAAATGACTCCCTTGCCGAGTCAACAAACATTTAGAGAGCAGCTACTGTAGCCAGGCACTGGACTGGACTCTGGAGAAATAGGAGAAGAACAGGCAGGGTCCTGCCTTGGGCAGGGTAGCATCTCTGCTGAGTCGGTTCATCTTTACATCAGACAGCATCAGCAATGGCTGTGACTTGTTGAAAATGGCCAGGTGGTGCCTCCCATTCATAAAATCCTCAGCATCACGCTTTAGGACAGCTACAATCGCCCGTTTCTCACAGCAGAGACTGAAGTCCTCCAGGAAGTCCCATGGATCTGAGAGGCTCCAGTTTCAGCTCGGTGGTGGAAGATACCTCTGTTCCTCAAACTAGAAACTTCCTCCCAGTTTTCCTCTTCCCTGCCCCCTCGTTCATCCCATCAGGAAATCCAAGAACATCTCCCTATCCCGTCATGTCTCCATTTCACCACGCCACCATCATCCAAGGGATGGTCACCTGTCACCCAGATCCTGCAAGAGTCCTGGCCATGCCCCCTGAGCTCACTTCAGCTGTAGCCGGGGATGAAAAGGGAATAGTAAGAAAGCTGGGTCCCATGCTGAGGATTTATGGGAAATGGTGCCCTCTGCTGGGCAGTCCTAGAGCGCTTCCACAGGAGGGAGCTGAATCTTGAAGATGGTGGGGGACCAGGGGACAGGTGGGCTTCGAGGTAGAGACCTGCCTGAGCAGTGGCCTAAAGAGTGGCTGGGAAGAAAGCAAAAACAGCCGCGTGCCGGTGGCTCACGCCTGTAATCCTAGCTACTCAGGAGGCTGAGATCTGAGGATCGCGGTTCAAAGCCAGCTCGGGCAGGAAAGTCTATGAGACTCTTATCTCCAATAAAACACCAGAAAACCAGAAGTGGCTATGTGGCTCAAGTAGTAGAGTGCTTGCCTTGAGCTAAAGAGCTGAGGGACAGTGCCCAGGCCCAGAGTTCAAGCCCCATTACTGACCAAAAAAAAAAAAGCAAAAGCTACAGGAGTGGAGGCTGAAGAAGCAGGCCCAGGATGACCCCTGGAGGCCAAACCAAACTTACTACCCTTGGAGTGTCTCTTGGGCCCAGTCTCGTGCTTTTATGTGAGAGTGCTAGTACTGGGCCTTAAACTCGGGACCTAAGTCCTATCCCTGAGCTTTATCACCCACTCCCCACTTGAGCCACGGCTCCACTTCCAGTGTTTTGGTGGCTAGTTGGCATTAAGAGTCTCATGGACTTTTCTGCCCAGGCTGGCTTCGAACCTCGATCCTCAACACTCAACCTCCTGAGTAGCTAGGTTTGCAGGTGTGAGCCATCAGCGTGTGGCCTCACCCTCTTTCTTTGTCCCATGGCATTTGCGTGGCCCGGAAGTCATTGAGAAGTTTGATTACGTGTTTGCTGAGAACGGGACGGTACAGTACAAGCATGGGCAGCTGCTCTCCAAGCAGGTCTGTGTGCGGCCCACCCACTTCCCCACTGGGGCGGCAGGGGTGCCTCTGTCCTGTCGTGCTTAGAGCCCTGTGTGTTCCTTAGACCATCCAGAATCATCTGGGGGAGGAACTGCTGCAGGACTTGATCAACTACTGCCTCAGCTACATGGCCCTGCTCAGGCTGCCCAAGAAACGGTGAGGCCTCACTTGGTCTGGGCTCCAGGACTTGTGGCCTGAGGGTGGAAAAGTATGGGTTGCTCCAATAGAACTTGACATACTTGGGCTTCTGACTGTGTGTGTGTGTGTGTGTGTGTGTGTGTGTGTGTGTGTGTGTGTGTGTGTGTGTCTGAGGGAAGAGGCCTCACTTGGTCTGGGCTCCAGGACTTGTGGCCTGAGGGTGGAAAAGTATGGGTTGCTCCAATAGAACTTGACATACTTGGGCTTCTGACTGTGTGTGTGTGTGTGTGTGTGTGTGTGTGTGTGTGTGTGTGTGTGTGTGTGTGTGTGTGTGTGTGTGTGTGTGTGTGTGTGTGTGTGTGTGTGTGTGTGTGTGTGTGTGTGTGTGTCTGAGGGAAGAAGCCACAGCCTTGCACCTGCTAGGCACAACCCTGCACATCCCTCCCCCTGATTTACTGCTGGGTAGATTCTGGTCATGTATGAAGTCCAGGAAGGCTGTGGTGCCCTGGGGCTGGCTTGAATTCAGGACTGCTCTCTTCTCCCTGGCCCCGTCTTCTGTCGCCCCTTCCCCCCACCCCAGTGGAACCTTCATCGAGTTCCGGAATGGCATGTTGAACATCTCACCCATCGGCCGCAGCTGCACCCTGGAGGAACGGCTCGAGTTCTCCGAACTGGACAAGGTACCACCCGCCATGCCCACGGACCTGTCTATTGGCCTTTCTGAGCCTGTTTCTCATCAGTAAAATGGGTTGCAGGGAGGAGTTCCATTGAACCGATCCCCTCGGGCATGGTCTGTGTGCCAGGAGTGGCGGCATGTCAGCCTCTTGCCAGTGCGGGTCCCCCTTCCTCGTGCTGGCTCCAGCCTGGGCACCTTTGCCACCTTCAGCTCCCATAGCTCCTGTTCCCTCAGCCTCTAAAGCCAGTCTTCACGCGCGCATCTGCACAGACGGGAGTCCACTGTCTCTGCCATGTTCCTACCCTCAGAACTTCCCCCAGTCGCTCCCCTTGCCTCCTCCATCCTCGTGACCCTCTGCTTTCTCCAGCACGTGTCGGAGGGCCTTTTAAGCCTGGCTCTGATTTGCCCACTGGCCTCCGGTACTTCCTGCGAGCAGGTGGGTCTGGGCTAGGCGTTGCATGCTGTGTCCCCCGGCCTAGGGATAGGCAGTAGCCACAGGCACACAGACTTTTCTTGTTGGGGTTGACCATAGGTAAGCTGGAGGCGTGCGGCTTAGTGGGAGAGCTCCTGCCGACGCATGCAAGAGGCCCTGGTTCAAACCCTAATACTACCAAGAACCCCTTCCTACCTACACACGTCTACAGAGGGACCCCCCTTTCAGGCCATGCTCTACCCCTTGTTCACCCAGAAAGCTGGAAAGGCAGCTTTGCCGCTGCGTGCCTCTGTGTTCCCATCTGGGAAATGGGGCAGCAGTTACTGCCACCTCACAAAACCGTCAGCTCTGGCCTCTGGAGCAGGTAACCAGCCCAGCATGGGGCAGGGGCCCCGGAGGCTGGGCTGTGGCTGGTGCGTACTACCTTCCCTCTGCCCCCAGCTCCTCTTCCTTATCTCTTTGACTCCTGTTCACCCCCTAGAGACAGGGGAGGAATAATTTGTGTTCTCTACACAGCCTGGATCCCATATTCCAGCTTCAATTCAGATTCTGGGTCCTTCAGACTCGACAGGGATGACAAGTAGACCCCTCTTTTAGAAGAGGACACAGGGACAAAGAGGTCAAGGTCACTGGGCATCAGAGGTCATCCAATAGCCTGGTCCTCTAGTCCCTTACAGAAGGGACTTGCGACTACTCAGGGCTGGGCGGAACTATTTCACCAGAGCTTTAGGCCCCAAAGAGCAGCCTGTGGTAGAGACCAGGGCCGAGGGCCCATCGACCTCCTGGGAAGGCAAAGCCGAAGCTGGGATCTCTGCTTTTCCAATGAGAAAGAAGCAGGCAGGGGTCAGCAGTTACTTCTCTGCCCTTTAGTGCAACAAATGGGCTTGGAGAGGTCACATGACCTGTCCACGGAGCAACACAGCGTCCAAGCCTGGAGAGGTCACGTGACCTGTCCACGGAGCAACACAGCGTCCAAGCCTGGAGGCTGGGCAGCCTGTCTTTGAGTCTCAGGCTGGCTCCTTTCCAGCATGATCGCTGGCCTCCGTGGACCAGCCTTCCAGGCCCTGCACTGCCTGCCTCATTCCAGTCCTGCCCAGTCTGACTTTGGGTGGTACTCATCACCATCCTGTGTCTTTAAAGGCCTTTCTGTTCCCCCCAGGATGTGTCCATCACCCTCCCCCCATTTGGTGTCTGGGCCTCTGAGTTGTCTATCTGGCTGCCCTGTCCCAGCCACTTCAGCCCCATAGGGATGTTTGTCTCTGTTCACTGCTGGGATCCCCAATGTGTGTCTCTGGGCTGAGTTCTATGTGTCCTGCCTGCTGTTCTCCCCAGCACAGTCCTGAGTGGATGGCCTTGTGCGTGACCTTTGTGCAAGGGACCGGGAAGGGCGTCCTGGGACCAGACCCGCTGTCCTGACATCTCTGTAAGCCCCTTACTTGTGGGGCTTCTTCTCCCAGCTCCCTCCATTTCTAGTACCTGAGCTATATGTGCCGTGTTGACTCAAACTGAGCCCCCCTCTGAAGTGGAGGACACTGGGATCCAGCGCGCAGGCTGCCGACCCTTCCCCTTCCTCCTGGGTCTCTACTGACAGGCCTTCTTCCTGCCTACTTTTCTTCCTTCTTTCTTTTCTTCCTTCCTTCCTACATTTAAGTGTCAGTCCTGGGGCTTGAACTCAGGGCCTGAGCACCATCCCTGAGATTTTGCTCAAGGCTAGCACTCTTCTACTTGAGCCACAACACCAATTTCGGCTTTTTTTGTTGTTGTTGTTGGTCGTGGGGCTTGAACTCTGGGCCTGGGCGCTGTCCTTCAGCTCTTCAGCTCAAGGGCGAGCACTCTACCACTTGAGCTACAGCGCCACTTCCGGTTTTCTGGTGGTTTATTGGAGATAGGAGTCTCACAGTCTTTCCTGCCCGGGCTGGCTTTGAACCGTGATCCTCAGATCTCAGCCTCCTGAGTAGCTAGGATTATAGGCGTGAGCCACCAGCGCCCGGCCAATTTCTGCTTTTTCTGTGTATGTGGTACTGAGGAATCAAACCCAGGGCTTCATGCATGCTAGGCAAGCGCTCTACCACCCACTGAGCCACCTTCCAGCCCCTCTGGGCCTTCTTCAGAGGGCTACAGATGGTCTACATTGGGTGACCTTGAGCAGAGCATGACTCCTCTCTCAGCCTCGTTTCCTCAAGTAGAGGTTATACCTACCTGGAAAGCCAGTGAGCTCAGGTGGATGCGTGCCCAGCACCGGCCTGGCACACAGCAGGCCCTCTGGACCTCAGCCAGCACCCTTCTTTCCACAGAAGGAGAAGATCCGGGAGAAATTCGTGGAAGCCTTAAAGACAGAGTTTGCCGGCAAGGGACTGAGGTTCTCTAGAGGTCTGTACATCCGCCTGCAGCAGGTCTGAGAAGCAAAGCACAGGAGACACACACACACACACACACACACACACATTGCATAGCAGGGGCAAAACACACACACACACACACACATTCTCTCTCTCTCTCTCTCTCTCTCTCTCTGTCTCTGCATAGCAGGGGCATGGAGCCCTAAGTAGGCCAGAGCAGGGTGTTTACTGGTGCCCGGTCTTGCCTGCCTCTGTAAATGCCCTCCTGCCTCCTGGTATTCTTTCTCCACCTCCACCTCCTGGACCTAGGGCGCTGTCCAGCTGTGTAGAAGGTGGTTTTGCTCTCCTCTGCCACTCAGGACACCCCCAGGGCTGAAGCTGGCCTCATGCAGCTGATCTGGCTGCTATGTCCCCCATTCCCCGGTTGCTGGGGTCCTTTTGAGCTCTTTGATCATATCACACCTTTGCTCAGAGCCCCTGAGAGGCTGTTTCCCACACACACACACCCTCAGCCTCCTTTTGGAGCCCTGGAGGCCAGCCTCCTCCCTGCTGCCAGTGCTGCAGTTTGCCAGGTCATTCTTCATCCTGCCTTTCCGTGCGGACTGCACCCAGTTCCCCAGACGTCCCCACGCCTCCCCCAGCCTTGCAGCTGGCTGAGCACAGCGCCCCCCCCCCCCTTACTCTCAGGTGGTTTTTGTCTGTTTCCTCCTGGCTCACACCATCCCTGAAGATCTCCAGGCTCCTGTGCCTGGCGCTAAGCAGGCTCTGTAGTTTGAATGAATGAGTGAACAAGGGGCCTTGCCTAAGCACACCCTGCAAACCCCCAGCCCCTGCCTCACCCCCCCCCCCTTGCAGGAGGCATGATCAGCTTCGACGTCTTCCCCGAGGGCTGGGACAAGCGCTACTGCCTGGACAGCCTGGACCAGGACAGCTTTGACATCATTCACTTCTTTGGGAATGAGACCAGCCCTGTGAGTACGGGGATGCCCTCAGAACCCAGAGCACCCGAGGTCAAGGTCACAGGACACAGGCCAACAGGATGGGCTTCCTGGGGGCTCCTGAAGACAGCCAGCTGCTCACCAGCTCCGTTATACTGATTGGAAGGCTAGGGCCCAGAGAGGGTCGGCTACTTATTCTCTGTCACAAAGCAAGTGTGACAAGGGCCATGAAGGGGGGCCTTCTGACAAGACGGGGGGGGGATGGGGTCCCATGTCTGGGTGGCACTGGGCCCTCACCTTAGCTCCAGGCCTCCCCTAAGTGCACATTTTCCGTGTGCAGGGTGGGAATGACTTTGAGATCTATGCCGACCCCCGGACTGTCGGCCACAGCGTGGTATCCCCTCAAGACACAGTTCAGCGATGCCGAGAGATCTTCTTCCCGGAGACGGCCCACGAGGCCTGACCAGGGCCCGTGCCAGAGCATCATAGCGTCCAAGAGCTCTGCCCTGGCCGAAAGAAACACCCGTGGGTGCCAGCACCCCTCCTCCTCTGTGGCCCCGTGTGGCCCACTGTAAGGTCCACTCACACGGGACCAGGGTCTGTGCAGTGACCATCCCAAGACAGCTTCCTGAGTGGATTCCGCCCTCCACCCCACAGCCCCGCCCGGGGCATGGCTGCTGCTGGCACTTGAGCGAGCAGGGCCGCCCCGTCTCCCCTGCAGGGAGGTGCCTGTGCCAGTCCCGCAAGGAGCCCGCCGCGCCAGGCTCCAGGAGCAGTGTGGCAAGGCAGGGGCCCATCGCCGAGGACTTTATGATATTAAAGTTCCCAGGACAAGACCAGCTGTGAGATGTGTCTGGAGAGATGGCTGCCCTGGCGCACGCTCTCAGCGCCACCCAGGGACGGGGCTTTCCCGAGATCCAGCAGCCATGGGGTAGCGTGTCCTCCCTCAGCCTCTGCCCCAGCTCCCTCCCTGGGAACCTGACAGACGGACAGACGGCTGTTGGCCAGAATAGGTCACAGTTGAGTTTATTGCCAGTGTTAGGAAGGTCGGGGGGGGGGGTCCGTGGCTGGGGGCCTGGGAGGATTTCTGGGCGCAGAGGGGAGGCCTGTTACCACCCCCCCCCCGTGCCCATTCACCACAGCCTGCCTGGTGCCTAAAGTGCCCCTGGTCCTAGGAGGGAGAACCGGGGACTCCCGCGCCCCGGGGACAGGCCTGGCTGGAGAAGCCGAGCTTCCAACAGGGGCCAGGGTGAGGGGATAACCAGAGCCCAGCAGCAGCTCTGGGCTCCCAGCCTCTGTGTGGTGGACGCTGGAGCAGGATGAGCCCCAGCTGGGGGCTACTGAGGGGACCTCAAAGGCCACTGAACCCCTCAATTCTACTTACAGATGGCTCTCATGAAGCCACTGTCCTTCCTTGAGCCTTTGACCCCATTTATTCCCACACACACACACCAGGTAATGGGCTCTTAAGAGAGTATGGGGGCCAGGGCCCCTCCTGGCCTCCCAGGCCAAGATACACACACACCACACATAGCTTGACACCAAAGGGACGTCAGGGGACAGGGACGGCCACACACTGGGAGGGACTGGGTAAGGGCTACCGTGGTGGCTGGAGTCTGGCACTGGTCTTGCAGGCTGAGGGCTGTCCGAGGGGTGCTGGGCCGGCAGGGACATGTCATCCGATGCAGCGGCCAGGCCTGGGCAGAGCGTGCGCGGGGGGTGTGGGCCGGGGTAGAGAGGAGGCTCCGTCCAAGCAGGATGTGGACGGAGCTCGGCTCCTGCAGCCCGCGCCAGGGATTCACAGAGCCACTGCCAGCAGCCGGGGAGCCCTCACGTGCTGGCCTGGGGCCCCTCCCTCCTGCCTCACCAATGCACTGAAAGCAGTGCGTCAGGGGCCATGCATCCCGTGTTACCCTCTCCCCTGCCTGAGGCCAAAAGCTTCCCTGAAGCCCTCACAGGCCGGTTTCTGGAGGGAAGGTTCCAGGCCATGGAAGAGACCCCAGCAGGAGACAGGAGCACAAGCAGAATCTGGCGCGGGATGCGGGGAAGCATGACGGGTGCAAGGTCGTACGGAGGGGTCTCCCGGAGCCCCAGGAGTCCCACACAGGCTCCCAGGGGCTCACTCAAATCACCAGACGGTGGGCAGGGCCGAAGGCGCCTGAGCTACAGGGCAGCGCGGGGAGGGGGAGACAGGCCGAGGCCCCGCCCGTGGCCTCCTCCCATGCAGCTCCTGGCTCACTTAATCATGGGTCACGGGAGGTTGAGGCACACACTCACAGCCACGAGCACAGACAGACAGACGAGCACACTGAGGCGGCCTGGGGGAGGGAGGCCTGGTCAGCAGCACGGCGGGGGTCCGCAGCCAGCTACTGCCTGCCCTTCCCGCGTGGCACCCCAAGCCTAGGAGCCCACCACCTGGCCAGACCAGGTCTCGTGCGGGGTGTGTGGAGCCAGCTGCGTGAGCACCACCTCCACGGCCTGGAACTTCTGGTTCTTGGGTGGGATGGGGCACATCTTGTAGGTCACTTCGTCACCTTCCACTGGCACGTACTCTCCCTCGATGCTGAGGGGCAGGAGAAAAGGGGGGTCAGCCGAGCAGCAGCACTGGCTGGTTGCGGGGTCGGGGTCCCCAGATCCCAAGGCAGCCCAGCCAGTCTAGAGGAGTCTAGGGAGACTGATATGTGAAGGTCACAGGGCTGAGGCTGGCCTCTGAGCCGGAGGGAACAGGCCTAGCCACGCCCACCTGCTTGAAGCTGATAGGCCAGAAGCTGCAACTGGCTCCCAGGGCCCCGCCCAGGGGCCAGGACAGCAGGGCCTGGACTCACTCAGACACGTGCACGAAGATGTCCTCAGACCCGTTCTCGGGGGTGATGAAGCCGTGGCCTTGTGAGCGGGAGAACTGCTTACAGACGCCCTTGAACACTGGGCCGGCCGAGGCTCGGGCTGTCCTGGGGAGCGGGGTGGGGGGTCGAGCTGTGGCCTGGGGACCCCGAACCCACCCTGGACCGTCCTGTGGCATCACCCCCAGTCACAGATGCCACACTGAGGCCCAGAGACAAACCGGCCGCTCCAGATGCCTCCTTGCCAGAACCTTCTCTGCTGTGCACCCGCCCTTCTTCCTGAGCTTGTCTGGATTCTTCTGGTCAGGTTTTGGAGTGAAGATGTCCAGCCTAGGCTTGAAGATGGGGACCTCACTATCTCCTGAACAGCTGTGCCTTATTCATTCCTCACCAGACACTCGGTTTTGTTTTTCCTGTCATTTCCTAAAGCATCTGCTCTGTGCCTAGCCCGGGTTCACACCTGTCATCCTCAGTAGGCTGAGATCCGGAGGATCTTGTGTCTAAACCACCCCTGGCAGAAAAGTCTGGGGTACTCACGCTGAATATGTCCTGGTCCGTTTGGTGGGCAGAGGACTGGGCAGGTCCCGGGACGCGATGCCACCTCTTTCCCAGACCCTGCTGCCCTCCCTGTGGAAGGGGAAGGTGGGCCAGACAGGAGACTTGGGGGAGTGGAGGGGGGGGACCACAGGGGGCGACGTCGACTCCGATGTCATGGTGGAGCCCTCAGGAGAGCCTGGTGGACCCTGGGGCTCCGCGGCCGGTGAAGGGCTTGGGTCTCCTTGCAGGCAGGGCCCGGCCTGGCCCTGCTCAGCAGCCTCGCCAGCCACAGGCTCCGTCTGCAAAGGGGACAGAGAGACACACAGGGAAGTACAGCCTGGGAATGGCCCAGGACACAAGTCAAGAGGCCTGCACGCCACACCGGCATCCTGACTTCAAGCCATGGGGTCTCCCTGGCTCAGTATCCTCACCAGAAAAACAGGCAGGCTTGTAAGAGCAGGTGTGGGCCTCAGTGGTAGAGCACTTGCTTAGCATGTATGAGGCCCTGGGTTCAAATCCCAACACTATAGTAAGGCAAACCAAACTGCTAAGTCCTTTCAGCCTGTAGTTAATTCCATAACTCCAAAGGACAGAGAGGTGAGAGGTAAGGTGCCCAGGATTTGGCCTAAGTATCCACTGTTTCAAACTCATAGTCCTGAGCTCAAATGCCAGTTGTGTCACCCTCAACGTGGTGACATCAGGGAAGGTAGTTGCCGGGTTCTGGAGGGTGGCTCATGCCTGTAATCCTAACCTACTCAGAAGACTAAGATCTGGAGGATCATGGTTCAAAGCTAGTCTGCACAGAATAGTCCAAGGGACTCTGTCATCCAATAACCCACAAAAGGCAAGGCAGATGGGTGCCAGTGATTCATGCCTGAGGAGGCTGAGAACTGAGAATCGTGGTTCAGAGCAAGTCCAAGCAGACAAATCCTTGAGACTCTTATCTTCAAAAAACCTGAAGTAGAGGCGTGGCTCAAGTGGTAGAGCACCAACATTGAATAAAAAAGCCAAGTGAGAACATGAGGCCCTGAGTTCAAGCCCAGACTGCCCAACAGTAAAAATGAGTAAATAAAAATGAAGGAAGGCCGTCAGCAGTGTCTCCGTGATGGGCAGGCATACAGGTTGCAGAGGGGAAGCCCGCTCCCTGCCTCCCAGCTGTGTGCCCTGGGCAGACAGTCCCGACCTCGGACCCCATTTCTGGTTCTATGCTATGGACAGGGAGATGGCCCTGAGGACTGACTTGAGGACAGGAGCAGCTCAGGGCGAGTTCTTGGGAATGTGGACTAGTTTTCCTTAGCCCAGTTTCTCCCTCTCCAAATGAGATTAGAGGTTTGTGGCTGGGTGGTAGAGCGGTTGCCCAGCATGCCAAAGAAAACCACAGGAAGCAAGCGCTGATGGCTCACGCCTGTCATCCTAGCTACTCAGGAGGCTGGGATCTGAGGATCTCAGTTCAAAGCCAGCCTGAGCAGGAAAGTCCATGAGACTCTTATCTCCAATAAACCACTCAGAAAACTGCTGTGGCTCAACTGGTAGAGCGCTAACCTTGAGCTGAAGAGCTGAGGGACAGTGCCCAGGCCCAGAGTTCAAGCCCCATGACCAACCAAAAAAAAAAAAAAAAAAGAAAACACACAAGAAACTGTCTCTACCATGTTGAGGATTGAGTGCTTCGTGGGGGGCAATCTCCTAGCACCCACACATACAGTACATTGTGATTACAGAATAGAAATCCTGTCTTAGAGTTGCTGAGCATCAGCACATGCTCTAGACTGGATGTGAGCATGCTTGCCAGCATGTGTGTATGTATGTGTATGCTGGTACTGAGGCTTAAACAAGATCTCATATTTTTGCTTGGCTTTTTGGCTCAAAGCTGGTGCTCCACCACTTGAGACCTCCACTTCTTGCTTTTGATTCATTAGAAATAAGAGTCTTATGGACTTTTCTGCCTGAGTTGGCTTCAAACCATGATCCCCAGATCTCAGCCTCCTGAGTAGCTAGGTTTCTAATCATGGCCCCCAGACACAGTGCCTAGAAACTTGAGAAAATCCATCTGGTGGAATGGTTCAAATGGTAGAGCACCTGCCTAACAAGGACAAAGCCCTGAGTTCAAACCCCAGCACTGTGAGTGAGAGAAGGCAGGGTTGGGGGGAGGTAGGAAATTCCCCAAATGCCCGCACTGGGGGAGTACTCAGCACCAGGCACAGCAGTACCTACCTGAAGCCCACCCCTCACTGGGGGAGAGAGGCAGGTGACAGGCACAGAGCCCTACCACCTCTCTCTGGGGTGCAGGGTGGACCTGGCCTCCCGGGCCTTGTGCGGTGCCGGGCACTGACATCTAGGCTGGGAGTCCTGGGGGTGGGGTGAGCCCAAGTGGTTGCCAGGGAGACGCAGGCTCTGAGCAGCTGCCAGCTGGGGCTGGTGAGCCGATGACCTGAGCTCCTGGGGCTCATGCTAAGCACGGT